CGATCAAGACTGGACGAAAACAACACATCTACACGTCCACGAAACTAAACCGTTCAGTCGATCTCAGCCTTCGAAGACTGTGAGAGTCAAACTAAGATGAAACCGATGCCCAATGAATTCTGTGATATTTTGGATCCATCGGAGCCGTTCTTTAAATGCAGTCTGTGACGGACACAGCCAACGATGAAAGACTCGTTAATGCTCGACGTTAGCTACGTATCCTCGGTCTGAGCTGCACCCTTCATTCATTTCATCCATATTCCTGCACGTGTTCTGAAAGTGTAGCAGCACCACCGTTGATCAACAGGGGGCAGTGTAGACAATAGTTTGAGCACGAGGAAGAGATTTACAAGAACACCCATGTGGACGCATCTGTTTTTACACGTAGAGGAAACATGCGTGAGCTTTAGCACACACATTCAGGATCGACGAGGGATCGAACCACGAAACGTCCGATCACAGGACGGACGCTCTACCTCCTGATCCAGGAACACGACAACAACACGCAACAGTGATGAGCGAGCGTGCACAGACACAAATGGACAGATTTTGTTGTTGACATGATGCAGAGCAGCGGATTAACTTCAGACTGATGGAAGAACTCAGCATTAATGATGAGCTCCATGTGAATCCCGCTCAGCGTGGACACATGACTGATTCCACACGCATGACGTCTGATGTTGTGGCCCAGTGGTCCAGAGACAAACATCCATCCACATCACTTCCCCTCCACAGCCACCGGGACGCACGCAGATCAATGGGCTCGGGCTAATTAGACCGAGCACCGCTGCCACTCTAATTAGTGTCGGACACAAACAAACATGTCGTGACTCTTGATAAACATTTGAACATATAGACTTTAAATGTGTCAGACACAAACGAGACAAACGTCCACTAATTGTACTGCGTGTCCTCGGGAAAGACGACATCGTTAAAGTAAATGTATGGATGTGAAATTAAGACGACCTTCATCCACTTGGTTTAAAGAGAGCGAGCGGACGTAAATGGGACTCACTGTTTTTTTGCGGTGGAATCGAACAGAGTATCGACAATCGAAGAAAATAATCAGAAATGAAAAGATTGAGGGTTAAATGTTTTCTTCTGTTAAGATCATGTATTGTGTGTGTGTGTGTGTGTGTGTGTGTGTGTGTGTGTGTGTGTGTGGGAGCATGTTTGAGTATTTTAACATTATTTCAATTATTTGTGTGATACATTGTGACGGCTCATGAATAATTCTAATCCTGTGCAGGAAGCGTGTGTTTATCTACCCTTTACACACACACACACACACACACACACACACACACACACTAATCTAAACCTGATTCTAACTCGGACCTTTAAACCAAACAACGTTTTGAACTTGTGGGGACCAGACAGAATTTCTGCCTCGAGGTAAACAAACTTCGACTGGTCCTCACGAGCATAGCGATGCTGGTGGGAACACAGTCACACACACTCACTGCTCCACTGGGATGATAATGCCACAGATAATTAAGAGTGAAACTGAATCACAAAATGAAGCGATAGTGCCAGTTTGAGTCTAATTAAAAGTTCCTTGGCCCCTTCTGCAGAATATTTATTTAAATGCACACAGAAACATACACTCGTGTGTGTGTGTGTGTGTGTGTGTGTGTGTGTGTGTGTGTGTGTGTGTGTGTGTGTGTGTGCGCAGCAGGAGAAAACACACACACACACACACACACACACAGGGAAATCAACACGAATAAATGCTCAGGGTTTTCCACCGTAAATTAAAATGATCAATGATTCCTCAGCTGTTGTCATCAACTCTTATGACAGAGAAATATAATTGAGGTTTGAGATTTTACAGTTTAACCACAAATACCAGTAAAGTTTATTCACAGTTCAGTTTTCTGTAATCATTCAAAGATTTAGAACAAACTCCAACTTACAAATTAGAAATGCTTCGTCTGTCGACGAGTCAGAAAAACAGATCAATATTTATTTCATGCTCTTACTTTTGAATGATCGAACCATCTGCTTTCTTTTATTGTGACACTTCTTTCACCCTTTTTTAAAATTGCATATGTCATCATCATTAAGATGAGTTATACAAACAGAGTTTAATGAGATCATCATAATCTGTTTTCACTTGTCAGTTACCAGGATGACAGACCCCCCCCCCTGCAACAGGTTCACAGAGCGAGGAGTGGAAACCTGCAGCTGAAACTATGAGAGCTGACCGTCGGTAAAACTTAGTGGACGAAGTCAACAACCGGAAATAAAGAAGTTAAACTCGTTTTATGTCAAATGTAACTGAAGCTCTGACATGAAAGTTCATCACATTCATTAACATCGACTCACACGTTCTGAAACATTTTCATCAAATCTGCTCATTTTTCAGTCTCATTAAAATCCAGAGACTTTCCTCAACTCGTCGGTTTAATAGAATAATTGTCGCAGCTCCGGCTGAAACATTGTGAAGTTGATTTCTGAGCTCAGTTGATCTGATTTCAAAATGAGAGCAAAGAAAATTCTGTTCAATTAACGGCAAATAAAGAAACAATGAAAAGTCTGTTTGACGACACTGAAGGTTTAAAACAATCGCCTGCAGTGACACACACACACACACACACACACACACACACACACACACACACACACACACACACACACACACACACACACACACACACACAGGACCAGTCACTGTGAGCAATCAGAACAGTGAAGAGAGACAGAGACGCCACAAACCTGCCGACACCAATCAACATCACTGCCTCACTGTCGTCCAGTCACATATACATCAACCACAGAGGAAGAGGGGAGGAGGAGGAGAGAGGGGGAGAGGAAGGAGAGAGGAGGAGAGAGGGGGAGAGGAGGGGAGGAGGAGGAGAGGAGGAGAGGAGAGGAGGAGGAAGAGAGGAGGAGGAAGAGAAGAGAGGGGGGAGAGGAGGGAGAGAAGAGAGGAAGAGGAAGAGAAGAGAGGAAGAGGAAGAGAAGAGAGGAGGGAGAGGAGGGAGAGAAGAGAGGAGGAGGAAGAAAAGAGAGGGGGGAGAGGAAGAGGAAAGGAGAAAACAAGTTTGTGTGTGTGTGTGTGT